ACGTTTCTATACATATTACATAATACATACATATAATACATTTTTATACATAATAAACATATTAATTATTTTCAACTTTTCTCTATAGTAATTGCAGAATTGTGCTTTTAGATTTGTTACCAGTGCATTCAGTTCTGCGTTTCGAATCCCTTCTAAGGGTAAATAAACAGCGAACTCTAAAAGTGATGAAAATATCATTAAGCTAATTGTACTAATATTATTGGATTACAAAAACATATGGGTCGTGGAAAGAAGAAATTGCTTACAGTTTCTGTTTCGACTTAGTTTCAGTTTAAATGTTAGGGGTTTTGCGAATTTACGTAATTTCATGTATTTGGTAAATATTTCTGTTTTGTTTTATGATTTGGTTTTTGTGCATTTTTATAGGGTCGTGTGTCGTTTTTATTTATTTATTTGTTTTTATTTATTTATTTATTTTATATACGATTTTTAGCGTGTATTCTTTCGTAAGTTTATGTTTGGCATGCATTTCTCAGTGTTTACTACGTATAGTCAGTTGTAGATCTTGTAATTATGAATCGATAAAAATTTAAATTGTGAAAATAATTCAATTAGAAGTCGAAATACAAAAGAATATTCTGGGAGGTGTTGACGAAAATTTGAATCCCTGAGTAAGCAATATCTGGCGATTCCTAATCAGATTAGCAATCTGGAAGTTTTCAAAAAATGAATTTTAAAGCCACAGGAGACATTTTTTCCAAAGCTCCTCTGCCAAACCTATATGCCGTATTCACAAAAATCCTAACTGGGTCTTTAATTTTTCAATCTAGATATTTCCATTTACGAGAAAATGACGCAAAGTTTTAAATGACGCAAAGTTTCAGATTTAGGTATTTTTAAATTTAAAAGAAAACTTTTCTTATAAAATTATCAAATCTAGTATTTTATACGATCCCCTGTTACCTCTACTTGTATTTAGGAAGCTTTTGTATTTATTATAAAAAATAAAAAGATTAGCTCCTGTCCGACAGAAATGACAAGTTATAAAATTTTGCATATTTGACTTCATTTTCAACTTGCCTTGAAGACTTGATTAATAAATAAATTTAAATAATTCTAGGTTCTTTTTTTCTGTAACTACCATTCCATAATATTCTTTTGTAATTTACTATTATGTAACATTTATTAATTTATAATTTTTGTCCTATTGGTTACCCGAAAGAAATTTCACGCAAGTAATTTAAAGGCAAAAAATCTTCGTTAATATTCCCATAAGGTTTTAGTATTTTAGTATCGTAATCTGCCAATCATATAAAAATTCATCAAGCTAGAAATATTTTTTATTTTTAACTTATTCAAGTAATGTTACGAGTTAGCTTAGTAACAAATCTTCTAGTCTTTTTTACAATAGGAGTTTTATAAGTTTCTGTGAGGGATAATTTTTTCGGGGAAGGGGGAGGGAAATGTTCATCGGTACTTTTCACAATATTTTGCATAGAAATGCTCATCCCTTAACCTCTTAGCTTCAGAACCTTTTTTGCTAAACTTACTTTTTAGTTATGTACAAATGTAAATATTTTGTGTACGGCCAATGGATGTGATCTCCGACTTTAATATCAAATATCTCCGTCAGTTTCTATCGTACAGGAGTAACAATTTTTGTATTTTATTTTTTAATGAGTATGATTCTAGGAACGTACAAAAAGTTTGATTTCATAATTTTAAAAACATTATTTGATTTAAGAATTCTAAAGTATTAATATTTTCGTCATTTAAATCATTTTTGTAATTGAAAGTATATGTCTATATGAGTTGCGAAAATAAAGGACAAGTACAGACTTTTGAGAACGCAGTATATATTTAAACGGTGCATTTCGGCCTTAGGGTCAATTCAGTTTAGAATTAACTTAACAGTGCGTTCAGCATTGTGAGATTATATTGAACTATTGCTCAGTGATTACTATTTCCATGCATCTATTTTCAAATAAGTACAAGAGTATGTTTGCAATTTCGAGACCCCACAAAAAGACAGCTCTGTTTTTAAACTAAAACCAAAAGAGCAGCGCATACATTGCCCTTTTAGCTTATTAGTAGAACACTTAAGCAGACTGCTTTAGCCGCGCGGCTCTTTACACTATACTTTCGTTAGCCTTTACTATAAAGACAGCTTCCTTCATCCAGATTTGGGAACAAAATTAAAATCATTGGCAGGGTTTAAACAGGCTGGTAAGCATTACCTCCAAGTGGACCAGCTGCTCTGTCAGTGTAGTAATGGAAAGTACAAAAAATTACTACTATTTTAGAATTCACTCTGGGAATGATATCGATGTCCTGTGATATTTCTTGCGTGTAATTTTGCTTATCTCTGTTCTCCTTGAACTATTTATCATATATTAAATATATAAATATAATTTCAACCTTTCCCAATAGCGGCTGAGCGATAAAGTCGCTGAGCACTGGTAGTTCTGTCCGGGGTTCGAATCCCGGCGAACGGGCTAGCTGCATAGGCATTTCCGTGGTTTTCGATCATGTATAATATGTATACAAGTCAGCTTCCCGGAGAAACTCTTCCAAACAGATATCCCACCTCGTAGGCAGATAGCCCTCAAGTGCTTTGCCGTAATCATATAAATTAAACCAAGCACCCTTTCTCAATATATGTCGTTAATAGAACTATTTGCATGCAACTAAATTTTCACGGTGGAAGCACTTATAACTGAAAGATTTGACAATAAGCTTTAATAATTACTCGTATTATTTGACGTTTTTTTTAAAGTGTGAACAGTAATTATTTTTACCTCATTAAAAATGTCAAGTTTTGTACCCAATTATAAAGTATTTGCCAGAAGTTTTACTTCATTATTTTATTGGAAACAAAGTTTTAGTAGAACTGAACTTATTTACTGTTGGAAATTTATTGGGAATATGATCTTTTAAATATAGCTTGCAAAGAATGGTTTCGATGTGTAAGGTATTACTTGATCAGCTGACATTAATTACCAAACCTTATGCCTTACCAAACCTGAGGCCACTATGTCTGAAGCAACTACAAAGTTGAGAGAATGTTTAAATAACCTTTTAAATAGAATTTAGAACGTAAATACACTCTCTTGTGCTTCAATATTAACCACAACTCGTGTTGATGCAACTAAATAGAAGACAAATTTAAATTAAACGTGGAACAGTAGTCAAAGACTTCACAATTAAATATTTACTAGTAGTTGGCTTAATAATTCTACCGGAGCGTCAAAATGAAATTGTCGGCAGCGGAAGAGCTCAAGGCCAAATAATTACAACTATCAGAGCTGGAAGAAAATTAATACGTAGCGTGCATGCGAAGCTAGAAACACACTCTCCCTTAAAATTCAAAAACCTTAATTGAAACACTGGTTACCTCATTTGAATTCTAGTGAGGAATACGAAAAAGAGAAGTTATAGTAAAGATGGAAATCATAAAAGCTGGTTAATTTAAATAATGTCCTTACTGACGGTTTAAAAATAATGATTTAAATGCAGATGCCAGATCGCATGGGAAACCACCAAAAACTTCCAATATGAAGAATTACAAACGTTATTGAATGAAGGTCTTTAATAAACACAAACGGAATTGACTGCTGCATCGAATGTTATCCAGTCATGTATTCCTCAACGTCTGCATGCAGTGAGAATGATTCAAAAGAAAAAAAAGTCCTATGCGAATTGTAAGAAATGGACATTGAATGTAGAAAACACATATGTAAGTTGTTACTTCAAAGACAAAAAAGAAAATATTTTTAATCGAATTTTTATTGGAAAGAAATATTAATTCACTATCACCATCCCAAAGTGGTGGATGCGTTCATATGAGCTAGGATCTGGTGGGACCTAAAGGGCGTAGTCCTCTGTGAATGTTTGCGAAATTGATGCTGAACGTAGCAAACAGCAATTAAGCGTCTTGAAAGAAGCACTGAAATAGAAATGTCCAGAATATGTCGGAAGACACAAATAAGATGTTCTCCAACATGACAGTGCTTATTCATGTGTTGTAATATCAATCAAGAAAACTTCATAAACACTTCGTACGATGTGTTGCCCATCCGCCTTATCCATAAGATCTTGCTAAATCAGATTATCATTTCTTTCGGTCCGTGCCCTTTTGGAGAGAGAGAGAGATTTTTATGGCAATGTTAAAAACTGGTTTGGTAATTGAAATGCTTTAAAACAACCAAACTTCTACCTTCCTAAAATCTGACTTGAAAGGTAACTGGAAAATTAATTTGGACAAACCTTTCTTTCATTGAGAGGAATAAGATGCATATACCTAATAGCTGACTAATTTTCTATGAAATGTTTTTATTCCGATAAAGCTGAAATTTCTTTACTTTCTTCTCGTACAGTTAATAAAGAGATCTGTACTGACCCGAAATCCGCTGCCATAAAATTGATTTTAAACTACACCTGCCATCCACCCTCGGCCAACTCACAGGTTACCGGTGTAGAAAGATGCAGTATTAGGTAGATTATTACGTAACATAAAATTAAACCGGAATACACTGGCGACCTGTGAGTTCACGATAACCGGCGTGGCGCAGAGCCAATATTTCCTGCAGTAGCCATACTTATTAAGCCACGTTGGTGATAAATGCGTTATAGAATAATGTATTAAAATGTAGCCCTCCTAAAACTTTGGAAAGACACCCGCTAAGGCCTGCTACAACATTGGATTTTTGAACATTGCGTTACTGTTGTAATTAAATGAATACGATCTAACGCCATGTATTACGCACTTGATACAAAATCATTTCGTTTCAATTTTACTCTGCAGATAATAGATCTATTTAGATATCTAAGATGTTCGATAATATATCGAATGTGAGGCATTTAATTATACAACAAATTGATGTAATTTATTACATTTTTGTAATTCCATTTACGTTTATTCGATTAGTGTAAGTGACAAAATTCCTTTGTAACTTCTTGTATTATAGATTCTGTTGTAAAATAATTGTTTATTTGCCACTAATGAACGAATTTGCCTTATATGTTTTTTGCATTTTTAGGTCCGTATGATATCTTTGTTCGGGAACTTGTGGCTATGGATGGCATCGACAACAGTGAAATCCTGCTCATAGACGCTCTTGGGTAACTATTGGACTCGTATTTCTAATTGTGGACCAGATGCATACATTTAAAGAGATGTCGAATGAATACTAAATATTCTTGTATTTGAATCGCAAAAAGGTTCTTGAATCTTCTGTATCTAGAATCATTGGATTAAATTGGAGTACCTGACTTAGATAAAGCAAATGAGGGTAGGCTGTCTCAGTTCCATCCAAATTTTGACCGAGGCTTTGAGGGGGAACGAAATAGTAAGGTCACATACTTGTTTTCCGTAGCCTCCCAGAAAAACTTTCGGCTGACATTAAAAAGATGTTTAGTTACAAATATTCATTCTCTATCCGACATTAGAACACAGATAAGAAAAAAAGGATTTTAGTTAATACTATTTCTTTTTCTTTGCAACAAAATTTAAAATCTGCTTTTAATGAAAAATAATTTAAGAACGGCGTTTGTAAGCTGTTCTTAAAGCCACATAAATTGCATTATTAAATGAAGCGTGCAATTAAATAAATAAATGGCATTTTTAAATGAAGCATGCAATTAAAACTCTTGAACATTTTCATCAATGCAATATAAAAAAAATTTAGTAATAACTGAAACCTTTTATTATGAGACTGTTTTTATATCAAACCAGCTGTAGTACGAAAATTATTTGCAGTGTTTATATAAAGAGTCTAATCATACAATGCTAAAATCCACAAAGTTGTTTTTCATTTGTAAAGTTAAACTAACCCCTTTTACTTCCTTATACGAAGTAAAAGAAGCATTGTAATCACGAAAAATTCCAGTTACCATATTTCAACGAAAATATTCATTTTGACCGCTATCGAATGCAATTTAACAATGTGTGTTTTGGCGTGTCATCTGTACTTAAGGACAGAGTAAAAGACTCTTTTCCACCATACGAATTATAAAACTGATTTAAAATGGATTCAAACGAGATTTTTTTCGTGACGTCTGTACGAAAGTACGTATGATGTGGCATTAACTCAAAAGAGCATTTTTAAGTTGGGATATTATCTAACTTTTTTATATTTGCAATGTATGTGCTTCTGTCCTCAGATTGCTGCAGACCTCCAAAATGTTTTATTTCATGTATTTATTGAACAAAAAAAATTGCATATAATTGAATCCTCGCAATTCCTAGTGCTTCAGATATTAGAACAGTATGCAGGAAAATGTTTTACTCTGATTATGTTCATGAAAAGACAAAGGATTTCATAAGATTAAAATTTCGAAGGTAGAAATCGCGAAGTATTGTAAAAAACATGAGACTTCAGAGCAGCATAAGCAATAAAATTTTAAATAAGATTTTCAGACTGTTGATTCTAACGTTTCCAACCAAATTCTGCAGCCGTCTATTAAAAGAGGTGCATGAATTTCACAAGTGGTGCTGCCATCTATCGTGCATTATGTTAACTATAAGACAGTTTCCAACTCGTTAAAATTCGCAGCTCCTTGCAAATTTTTCAGGTAAGCAGTTGGAAGTTTTAAATAGTAGTTCATATAAATAATCTAAATTACACATTAAAATTTTGTATCTATTCATAATTAATCAAAATAAGCTGTTGATCAGCCAGCAGCAAAAGGAAGTAAAATATGAGCTCCTAGCCACCTACAGGGGAGATAAGATCTGATAGCGACTGGAGATAAAACTCGATAGCAGTTTCAGCAATTAACTCACAGTAGTAAACTATGATCATTTAAATATTACTGCTAAATCAAATTTTACTTAAGGTTTAAGTTTGTTTTGGGAACATCAAATTCAAAGGCAATTTTTTTAATTTATGTTTGCTACACCAATACCGATATCGAATAGCCAAAGTCCCTGCAGTTTATATTTAAAAACTTGGAAAATAAATCGTTTAATCTAATCAATAATTCTCTTCGCCTAGATAAGTTCAAAATTAATTATAAAAATTCTCAAAAGACAGATAATATCGCCAAGTAAGGATCATGTAGTTCAACATTCCAGTTTTAGTGAATCATTTAAAATTAGTCAGAAAATAAAGTAGAATTTTAACAACCCTATCAGTTTTGAAAGCGATTAGACAGAGGTCTCCGAGTATTAATATTAAGAATACAACATTGGTCAAATAGTTTTTAGAAATGTTCTGAAAATTTCGTAAATGAATGCTTGCACTAAAGACACTATGACATAAACAGAACTAATATTTAATTCAGAAGTCAAACAACAAAAATCAGCGTTATATTTTCAAAATTTTTACAGGACTAGTTTCGATGGTTTTACCAAACCACCATCCTCAGCTGCAAAACCGCAAATGAACAAGATAGGAAATAACGATTAGATAAGATAAGAAAGCCTGGACAAGAATAAGCAAGTGGCACCATCCGTTGATGACATCAGAGCTAAAACATAATTTCTTTAAAGGCCGAAGGCAAAGTTGGATTGGAATTAGGATCGTTAACTAGAACAGAAAGATTTTTTTGAATGTGAAATGCCTCTAGAAAATCCAGTTCCAATGGAAGATGTTTTTTGAATAATTTTGGCAGCAGAAAAATTGAAAGTGTGATTTTCGGACCAACAATGTTGAGCAACAGAAGACTTCTGTGTTTTCTTTTTTTCTAACATATGCCTCATGTTCCTTGATGCGAAATTTTAAGGCTCTCTTAGTTTGGCCAATGTAAATTAAACCACACTGGCAAGGAATCCTATAAATATCCCAGGAATTCATATCCGGAATGGGGTCCTTGAGTATGGAACTCGGAATTTTATTGATGGGAGAGTAAACGACCCGAAAGTTAAATTTCTGCAAAATATGTGCAACTTTATAGCTAATTGATGGAAAGAAGGGACTAATATTTTCCTAATTAAAACACTGTGAAAGTACCTACTTTATGATATTATTGTAACGTTGTGAGTTTTGTGTTCCCAATATTATCTGGTGAAGGCGTGAATAAGTTACTAATAACTTATTAAACCTTATGCTAACCAAACTAGCAAAACCTGAATTAGACTCAGAAGGGCTAGTTAGCTTCAACATTTGTGTGATCATAATTAAATGAGAATAATGCGTTGTGTTTTTCATACATTCATGACCATGCTCCGGAGGCCCACGAGCTGCCGAGTGGTAAAAGTTGCTGAACACTGGTAGTCGGTCCAAGGTTCGAATCCTGCGAACGGGCTGGCTGCATCTGTGTTTTCGCGGTTTTTCCCATGTGTAACGTGTATACGAGCCAGTTTTCTTTAGAAAGTCCTACGCGAAGGCATCCCCTCTTCTTAGGCAGATAGCCCTCGAGGCTTTGCCGTAATTAAATAAACCTAATCTAACCATGCTCCGGAAAGATCGGATAAAAGATAAATGCAATACACAAATGAAAGCATAATATAAATTTCAAATTAATAGTAAGTTTATTAAGTCTCCTCAGATTACAATTAATTTCCACAATATTATTTCTTACCAATTACTGATCATATTTTCATAATTTAATTAATTTAAGTTTTTGGTACCAAATTACAAGTATGACATAATTAGTTACTATTCAACAGAAACTATTAAGACAATTTAAGAGGGAATAATGCGCATGTCCCTCTTTTGGTTTTACCTCAATATTAACATCAGAACAACTGATTATTACATAAAAATTTTACCTATTATACTATTATTTGACTTGATAAAAATTTTACATTCTTAATTAAGAGGAGCTTCAGCCAAAGTTTACATTCCTGTAAAGGATAAAGGAGCAAGACAAATTTTCTACCAAGCTTAACTTAGAGTTCAGTTACGTAAGATGAATAAAACAAATAAGGTAGATAGATGATAAACCAAGGAATCCCACTGGGATACCTGAGGACTGCCGTCGAAACGCATGAATGGCTCCAAAAGTTCTCAAAAATACTGCAACGCAGCTCGGCTCCTGGACGAAAAAGACATTCGAGCAACTGTCAGGTTTTCTTACACGGCGATTTGAAGTGGCTAAGAAGAAGCTGGGGTGGCTCATTCACAAAGGAGTAACCAGACAAAATAACATTTCCAGGATTCATCTACGAAAGTTCAATTCCCAACACTTGGAACACTCTAATTAGAAAATCGATGATACCAAGTTGAACTGAATAAAAAGCTTTCTAGATTTGTCAACCGGCTGTCGGACGATATCGTAGTCATAGCCTTTGGTAGAATTAACACATTTTGAGTGGGATGCAACCAGATAGAATCTCGCATTGATGAACACACACACGCCATGACACGAGGCTTAATTCTTGACCACGACTACTCTTAGACTTTAAACACGGAGCAGTGTTTAAAGCCTAAGAATGAATACAACCAGATAGAATCTCGCATTGATGAACACACACACGCCATGACACGAGGCTTAATTCTTGACCACGACTACTCTTAGACTTTAAACACGGAGCAGTGTTTAAAGCCTAAGAATGAATACAACCAGATAGAATCTCGCATTGATTAACACAGACAAAAGCCATGACACGAGGCTTAATTCTTGACCGCCTTTAGCATGAAGCTGGTCGACTAAAGCAATTAATTAGCGAAACGCGGGAGCAACCTTCATTTTTAGGTACTTGAAATTGCCTCATTAATTATTTCCGATGTTAGCCTCATAATCCCTTTTTTTTTTTTTTAATCCCTTTTTTTTTTTTTTTTTTTTTTTTTTCCCCCCCACGACAAATGACGTCCCAAGACGTCCCGAGCAAAAGGTGTTCTATCATCGAAATCCTCCTCCATTACTTTCAAAAACACGGCTACCATCTAGGCTTCATTTTTCGCCTCCCTTCGAGATTAAATTTCTATTTTTCACCCTGAAAGACCCGAACATGCCTACTGCACATGCGTCACTTCTCTCAAGCGGCCAAAACGACCGGACGCTTAGATCAGTCTTAGGCCAATTAAGCCACCTCCAGTGTAGGTGAAATGGCGCCCTATAACCTTTCGTCACGTACTTCCTGTCCTAAAGGTCACCTAAAGAAAGCAATTCCTTCTACAACCTTCTACGGAAATAAACTACCCTGAGAGAAAATGACCAGGCCAAAATTCGTCTCTTTTCCCGAATCCTTTCACAAAGACACAGAAATCGTGAATAAATTTAAATAAAGGGAAAATAATAAAAATTCATTGAAGCATCTGCTTTTCCCCAAAATTAAAGAATTTACGTAACCGAATATTGAATTAATCATAAATAAAAACATTAAATTAATACTTTAAAGAATTAAATTAAATTTAAGATTTTTCCTAAATAAGAAAAATAATTAACCTGATTTCTTTCATAATGAAATCAAATTATAATCAGCACAATATATTACTTATTCAGAGTGTTTCAGCAATTCGGTTATAAACTTTCAGGAAATAGAAAGAACACTTAGACGATAGAAAATCACATTGCGAAACATGGTTGGAAACGCTTCCCTGGCGCGGTAGTGACAATATAAAACACAAGAAAGAATGGACACAAACACAATGATAAAGCAGGTTTATTATGCTCAGTGCAGCTAAAAGGTTGGGAATGTTAAATTTTTGCATACATTAACAGCTTTATGTGCTTCTTTATCTGAATGCAACTTATCCTTAACATTGGATCAGCAGGGGTAGTCCGGTGCATTGGCCAGCAAGATCGCTACACCTCACTTGCATTAACTGCTTTCTCCTGAGGGGTACATCAAGACGCTAGTGTACGAACCCCTATCAACAGTGCTCAGGACCTGGCATCTGCTGGGGAAAGTTCGGGACATGCCAGGTATTTATCAGCAAATCAGATTTTCCGTATGCCGGAGATGTAAGGCCTGCATCTCGGTCCGGGAGCGTAATTTCGATATCGTAAAATTTACTTCTTTCTTTGATGACAACTGTTGTCGGTTTTTGTTTCCATTTCTTGGTTTCTGCTGTACTAAGCATAATAAACAAGTTTTCTCACCCTGTTCGTGTCTGTCTTTTCTTGTTTTTTGTCCCCACTACTGTGCAAGAAAGCGTTTCTGACCATGCATTAATATGTGAATTTTCATCGTTCAGATGTAATCTACCTCTCATGAAAGTTTGTACCCGAATTTCTGAAGCACCCTGTATTTATATGAAATTGGTTAAATTCTATTTCTTTTTTGAAAGATACTTTTTCTTATCGTTTAGTGTTATCATTTGGTTAATGATATAAGAATAGCTGTGGACAAACGTGATCACATAAAACAGGACCTATTCTACCGTGCTTTTACCAGTGATGAAATTTGGCACGTTTTGCCATTGCACAAAGATTAGGAATATAAGAAATGGCGTAGTGTCTACAAAATATAAGATTTTTACTTAGTTTCTATATTCTGTATATTTTTATATTTCTAATTTTAGTATTAGTTATTTTTTATTTATTATTAATATTTTAATTTCTTTATCAAAAAACTACTTTGGTATGCTTTTAAAAAGTTTCCAGATTGAGAATTGTTTTGTTTTACTTTTATTTTAATTTTCTTTCATTAAATAATTATCAAAATTGTACAATAGAACTCGTACTATTTCTTTTTCTTTCTCTAGGTGCCCAACGGATGCTCTCATCATGGGTGCCATCACAAAGGCGAGGACAGAGACGAAGATCGTACAAGCGGCATTTGATGCTTTCAAGTTTCCCACTTCCGAAATTGTTCAGTTCAAGGCCTTGGTCACCCCTTGTCTGCCCACTTGCGAGCCAGTAAGACATGCGACTCGAAATCTCAAAGTTTTCTATTTGTTAACCTGACTTTCACTTCTTGGAAAACTAAAAGTCTTTTCGGTTGTTACGTAAAATAATTTGCTACATAAAAAATAAAACTCGCTAGCTTACAGACATTTTAATAGCTGGTCTAAATTGTTTAGTGATTTACCATTTTAGCTGTCGTATCGTCTTGATATTTGTTACTATTCTGAACTTTCACTAGAAATATTCTATGATGAAGCCTCCATTTGGTGAGGTATCGTTAATGCAAAATTACGGCTTATCCGAAGATATTTAAATAAGAAACAGGAAAAGGGTTAGTCCCTATTATATAATAAACATAAATATGCTATTAATAATACATTTGCAAGTAGTTTGATCCGGAGAATAAGTTCATTTGCTTCCGTAAATTAGAATTCAACGTGCCGCCCAACCGGTGTAGTGGTTAGCGTCGCTGATTGCCGTGCCGAAGGGTCCGGGTTCGAATGCACGAATGTTTGTGAATGTATAGTGTCGGTGCGGCATAGCGGCACTCTAAATATGCGGCGAGCCGAAAGTCCTCTCGTATGGTTTGGTGGAAGGGGAGAGGGGTTGGAAACCCTCGGACCCGTCCAACCCCCGGGGTACTCTTCATCAAAATTGGGGGGGGGCGGAACTGAGCTAAATCGCACTGAATGGTTCACAAGGCTGTTGCGCCCACCAGCGGCTGAGCGGTAAAATCGCTGAACACTGGTAATTCGATCCGAGGTTCGAATTCCGCGAACGGGCTGGCTGCATGGGCGTTTTCGTGGTTTTCCCCATGCGTAACGTGTATACGGGCCAGTTGCCCTTAGAAAGTCCTCCACGAAGGCATCCCTCTCCTTAGGCAGATAACCCTAGTGTGCTTTGCCGTATTCTCAATACACCAATACACGAACACAAGGCTGTTGCCAACGACAGGCATAATCCTGCACTCCTTGTCACAAGGAATTTCGTGGGCTTGGGCTGACTACGTCAGACAAGTTGGTATAAGGTAACAACAACAGAATTCAACATTTCTTTGCTTCTCGAGCGCAAGCGCGCACTCTTTTTTCCTGCCTGTTTCTTCCTGTCTCCGTCAATATTTCTTTAATGATGCGCGCACTCTTTTTTCCTGCCTGTTTCTTCCTGTCTCCGTCAATATTTCTTTAATGATGCGCACACTGTTTGCATTTATACAGTACAAAGTTCGAGATCTGGACTCGTCGGAATTTCGGCTATTCTGGATTTGGGATTTTTCCGGATAATTAGACCATCAATTTAAGTCTAATAAGATGAGATGAATAAATTATAATATAAAATATATGAAATAAGGAAGCATTTACAACCAAAAAGGAAACCAAAATTTATTTTTAAAAAATCTCAGTATTTATTTGTTTGCTTTATTAAACATTTATTTGCTTTATTAAACATTTATTTACTTTATTAAATATTTATTTACTTTATTAAATATTTATTTACTTTATTAAACATTTATTTCAATGTAAGTTGCTTCGTTTTTAGCTCTAATACTTTTTTTGTAATTCTATAGATAGACATAATCTGTTGTTCAATTACAAAGTTCTATTCTTCGAGTCCTATAATTGCCGTGTCAAGAATTCCTCCCGAATAATCAATTGAAAATTTTTCATTCGTCGTCGCAATGAAAAATTTCTGTTATATCATCTTTATTTATTGCTACTTTTCCACAAATTACATTGTTTGGAAAATTTCGTTTTTTGTTTGCGATATCCTAAAAAATTTAAATTCACAGCTATCATCATATAGTTTAGCTAGCGTCCGCCATAAATTATTGGCGATGTATCATTAGACTGGCTGTTAGAAACGTGTTATTGACTAAAGTTTTTTTGGCTTCTGTCGCTCGCTGAAGAGGTTAGGCCAGATCATTGTTTCATTGTTTAGTCAATTATTATAATTATTATTAATTCAAGCAGTATATGTAGTTATTATTAATTCAAGCAGTACAAAATGCAGTCTTTTGGTCTCTGAATATCATTTACAAGCTGAAGTCTATAATCATTCCCAAGCCTAATGATAACGTAAAAGTTACCATGCTCTTTGGTAGGCGATTAACAATAGTAAAAAAAAAGTTTTTAAATATCGTTGTATGAGTCACTTCTCAAACTGCCAAGTGCTGAAAATTATGCTGTGATAAAAGCAAAAAATAATCAATAATAATTCGCCAAGTTATAAGTTATTCAATAGCTGTAAAATCAACGGTGTTTCGATGTAGAATGTCTCAGTTTGAGATGTATACTAGGCAAAATGGCAGCTACGGAACAAGATTATTGGCCATACATATTTATGTTCAAAAAAAGTTGTTTTTTCAATACGCAGGTATTTTATATACTGAAGAGGAAACATTCAAAGCTATCTGCATTTCATTAAGCAGGAAATAATTTCTCTAGACTTCCGGAAAAGTTCCTATCTACTGAAACGCAGGATTTAAATCTTTTCTGGCGAAATTGAGATTTTCGCAAAACTTCTTAGCGAGAACTATTTGTGACAGATGATAAGAACAAGAAAGTCTGAAACTCAAATTTAACTGTTACAGAGAGAAAAAATTCTTTCACCGTGTTAAGCAATCTGTATAATTTCTTCTAAAAAAATATGTCATGGGAACCCTCATGACTTTCTTGTACGGCCTATTAAATTATATAATTTTTTACTGCACTTCATTTAAACTTACTTCTTCGAATTTCATAACAGATATAATTCTCATTCAATCAATTCATTTCTCATCTCGCGGCAAGGCAAAAAATATTAAAACTCAAAACACCTTCATTAAAAATTGTAAAATACAGAAAAACCTAAACACAATTAAAAACAGTTATTTTTTTTTTTTTTTTTACAATTAAAATTAGAATTTCTACATAATAACAAGCTATTCGGCCAGAGTGCAGGAGGAAAAAAATGCTCGGTACACAAAATTGAATGTTAACTTTCGGTACCACTCGGCAAAAAAGAGGTGTACCAGCTGACTTAAATCACTGTTCTCGTAAGAGTTTCAATGGCGGCCTCGTTAGGCCTAGAGACACTTAAACTTTCAAACTGTTGATATTTTTGCAACTATTGCATGCAGATTAACTAAAGGAATAAAAACCTTAACCTGAACATAAAAACAATAGAATTCAATCACCTTTAAGGCAAAAATAGCTCAATTTGTCAAGATATAAGAATAAAAAACTGAGCTCACCGAGCCAAGGGACAGTGTGTATGTATGTATGTATATATATACTTTTGGAGGGGGACCGATTGCAACCAAAACGGGAGGTGCACAACGGGAGATGCACTACTCGTATTTGAGTTATACGAGATATATGCGTACGTACAACAAGATGCCGCAAAAAAATCACTTCTGAATCAATTTTAAATCCATTTTACCAAAAGAAGTCCTTTAATCTGTCCGTACGTACAGATGTCATGCAAAAAAATCGTTAAAATATTTTCGAGAGCGGTCAAAATGGCTATTTTCTTTGAAATACGATACCCGAAATTTTTCGTGATTTATTACTTCCTTCGTACAAGGAAGTAATAAAATACCGAAATGTTTGTTCTCCACCCCCCACATATATATATATATATATACACATACATGTATTTCATTTCAAAATTTGAGATTTTTGCCATTTTCTTGGGTGTCTTAAGGGTTCGAACGAAACATTCATTAAAATAATTAGTCCCCCCCTCCCTTTAATACAATTCAGTGGCAGCCTTTTGTGATTTACCGCTATGTAATGTTTTTAGCAGCCGTTTTGTTATATTTTGTATCAGAAATTATTTTTACACAAGTATTTGATAAGTTTAAAATGACAAAAACATGTTGGCAATATTCACTTGCAGTTTTATCATTTCTGGATCATTATGTGTCATAATATATTTATTGGATTAGAAATTTTCTTTACTTTTAATTTATCCGAGTAATGCTGTGAACTGGCTGTTTACGAGTATTGAAACCTGTCGGTGATTCCTACTGTACAATTTCTACAAGATTATGTGATTAAGATAAAGCTTTCGGGAAAATGTGTATTGATCAAAATGTTTCAAACAGTCTGCATAGCATTGCTTGTTAGTAAGTCTCTTCAGAAAATTTATTCATCTTCAGAACATTGTAAACATTTTTCTCAGACACATATATTTATTTACCTACAAATTTACATATTTCACATATGTCTTCGATAGTCTGTCTTCGATAAGATCTCAGATTTAAAATTAAATGTCTCCGTGAATTTATGTAATACAAGAGTCGAACTCTTTATGTTTAATTCTTTAAAATAGGTATAAACATTTTATTAAATATAACTATATGAGTGGGGAGACCGTTAGTTAGATTTTATGCAAATTTTATAAAAAAAATTGTAATGTACAGCATAATTATTTTCTTTATTTAAAGCACTTTTGTGATCAGAAATATGTATCTATGACCAACGGCTGCTAAAATGAAGGCCGCGTAAGAACTTCTATGAACATTGTGTTTTCATTCATTAACAGGTTCGTTTGTATGTATCGAAACTTGAGTTTTAAAATTTTGGACAATATTTAGACTATGCGTTTTAACAATCCAAATATGCATTAAAAATATTTGATGTTATATTTATGCTAAAGATTAAATCACAAATCTCTGTTTTATTGACCGTGTGATTCTCACTGCAGGCTGACTGTCCTGTACGAACTCTGGACGGTGTGTCTCAAAGAGCAGCCTCCTATGGGAGAAAACGAAGGAAAAGGTGGCTGGACAGAGACAGACGATCGACTGAAGAGGACGAACTAGTCGTCGTCCAAACAATTCACATCACTGACAAATTCGGATTCGAACGAAAGGGGCGCAGAATCGATAACCTTGACGAGGAGTCGAATGGTTACGATGACAGAGGTATGGTCTGGTTTGAAATTGGACCGGAATAGATCGAATTTCTTTTCCTTCTTTTATAAAAAATTTGTTCCAATCGGGATTATTGCAATGTATCAATCACTTTATATTTTATTTATTTTATTATTATTATTCTATCAACCTTTTTAAGTGCACTAGTTTGGATGTTACAAATGTCTACACTTTAGTCTCTCCATTTTTTCCAATAGTTACGTATTACTGTTGTTGATAAAAGCAACTCTCAAATACTATAATATCATCGTCTATCACTGCTGTCTTTTTCCCTTTTTTACGCCTTTCATTTACCATGATGGTTTATGATATTAATTCTCCCATATTTCTTCAATAAACAAGCTTTATATTTTATCTAAGATAGGGCTTGGTTAATTAGAATTTCATTGTCCTTAATGTTTTTCATTTGCTTTAAGGTAAAATGGAGACTTCTAATCCGACTTGCTTGAACATGGCTGGCCTAGTGATGGCATGTTCTCTATTTTTGGTTGCTCAAGTCATCGTTCTCTTAGCATGGGGAATCGTCTGGCACAAAAGAACAAGGAGCAAATCTTCAAGGAAAGATACTAGTCGAAGCATTGATATGATATACAACAACCGAAGTAAGTTCACCTTGCTTTGCATTTATAATTTCAATGCAAATATTTGATAAGAATGACTCCTTTCCATATCTACGCGAGTGTTTCAAAACGATTTCAAAACTAAATAATTTTTGAAGGATATATCGTAGGTAATGCAATCATTTATTAATAATTTATAATTTTCTTATACCCTACCTGTCTACAGTGTTTAGAAACCAAGTTAGTATAAAAATCAAGTCAGCTTTCTTACTACTTCGCCTTCAGTGCACAAGCCTTGTAAAATCTTGGCACATTCATTCATACAAATGCTGGATTCCTGTGTAGAACTCATCTTTTGGAATGCATGTGCTTATGGTTTTCTGTATCTGTTTGATGCTGTTAAAGTAATAACCTTTTAGGTGAGACTTTAAGGATGCAAAAGTAGTCTGCAAATGCCGCATCTGGGAAATGAGGAGTTAAACACAGGATCAAGACATTTTTCTTTATTGGAAGCTGCCGATAGGAATTATGCGACGAAGGGTTCACGGTCATGAAGCAGAAACCAGTTATTCGACTGAATTTTTTCAGGCCTGAATTCTCTTTAGAAATCTGCCCATTACACGTTCATGAAACATGGATTTCACCTTCTGTCTTCAAGAATAAATTCCTTGTGAATTATTCAGCGTATTTTCCAATAAAAAATGTCGTCAATATGGTCTTTACCACTGGAATGGAAGTTCCTGTGACCGAAGTGAACCTTCTCCATTCCCGACAGATGACTTCCATTTTGTCTCAGAATTGTTCAGTAAAGCACTAGTTTCATCTCAAATCACAATCTGTTTGCAAATTTAGGATTTGTATCTGTGATTTGAATCAATCACGACTGCATAAAAGTGATCCTGTTCTTTGTCTTTAAGCTAAACGTGGAGAGGGGACATATCAAGAAAAAACATTTTTCAAGATCTTCCATGACAATTATGAATGTTAACTTGCCAAATATCATTTGCAGAGATAGGTGATATTTTTCAGCAGCAACTATAGAGCATTTTCCATAACCTCACCTTTTTGCAAAGAGAAATCATTTCTAATGTCGTTATTATCATCATCATTTCCGCGTTAATGACGTATGAACATTGGCTCGTATTAATGCTTAACTCCCGTAGCTCTAAACAACATTTCGAATGTTTTCTCACTTTACGGCAAAACTTTATAATTGTTCTTTGCTCAGTTTCGGAACGTGTGACCGCAAATGCTCCCTGAGTCAAAGCAATCATTTAGTTGCATATAATATTCTTTCTGTTACGTAGATGCTATTTTAGGAAGAGCAGACTGAGGTGTTATATTAATAAATGCTATTGATTATCATTTGACAGGTTTAATGAAATTTTAAAAAAGTATTAATCCTAAAACAATGTAGACTCATTACGTATTTCATACTTCGATTCACATGCCAACTAGCATCAAATTGGTTACATCCTTTCATTGTAATTAGAAATTTGTGGGAATATTGTGACTTATTCAATTCGAGTGTTGCTGACTCTGAAATGTTTTCTTACACAGGAGACGAAAGCCCATGCGGAATCGACAATCCTTGCCGTTCAGATGCCAGCTCTTATAGTACTGTATATAGCAATGCTCAACAAAGCCACACCTTATCGAGGCGCTACTGAATCGTGACCAGAAGTGTAAAGGTAAATGACTATTTTTAACTAACATTTCTTTGATAATTTACTTACGTATGGCACAGCAGTGTTATTTACGTGTAAAGAGTGACCATTCCGAGATAAACAATTAAGAATTTACTATTTGGGCTACTACCCTGTAAATATGCGTTTCCCAGTTTGTGATGCCAGTTTCCCAGTTTCCGAAAAAGGACAAAAAGTAAAATTCAAATTAACTGGATATACCATACTACAGCTGAAATTTTCAGAGTCTGAATATTACGCATGGCAATTGTGTATCATTTTTCTCCCAATATTGACATTTAATCAAATTACTTACCTGTTGCCCTTATTACAGACTTCCTACTCTAGTCCTAGCAACACAAGAGATATTTTAGCCTTATGACTGTGATGCTATCAGCACACATCCAAACATAGATCACCTATGCAAGAATCGGCAGGCTCATTATCTCATTAATGTGATAACCAAGATTTATTGAATTTTTAGTTAATAAGGAAAATTAACCAAAATGTAATAGCCTTGAATTATCAAAAACTAATATAAATTTCCTTTTAATAACTTAATACCAATAACTGTATTTTAAAAATGTGAATATACTGCTGGTAGCATATGCTAAAAGTATTGCTTTCGAAGATACAGAAAATTCTAATTTATAAAGTGGTTCCCATTTGGAAAATGTTTGCAAAATGATGCTACAACTAATTCAATTACTTAGTATGTAGAGATCTCTTTAATAAATACCCCTGATGAGCAGAATGAAGCTGATTAATTTTTTCAAAGATTTAACAGTTCACAGCAATAAACAGCTGTAAATAGTTCTACAAGAAACTCAGTGCTGAGGTAAATTCTCTTTTACACGGGAGATTCCCAAATCACTGATATCCTCACAGAGTGAACTCTAAAGCAGTTATCATTGAGGAATAGCTCTGTGATAACTGCTTTAATATCAATATAATTGCATGATTTTGAAATGAACTTAGCTAACTCTCTGAATTGACTTTCATGGCTCAAACACAACCGGTATTTATAAGCTTGCTGTACAGGAAAACTGTACAGGAATAACATAATAATCAAGAGCACTAGCTATAACAGTACATGATAGTCACTACTTTGAGAAACATCTCAAAAGTCTCAATTTAACACAATGCTTGGAGGAATGTGAAGTACTATCTCTGATTAAAGTTGTGAGCTTCAATTCTGTTATACCCTGTATAACATGAATACAAACTATATCCTTATTAAGTCTCACATAAAATCATCCCTTTCAAAACATAATTTTTGAGTGCTCTGCCGCCGTATATAATTTAAAGTATGCAGGAAAATAAGGTACTTTGTTTAGTATATACTTCTGTCAATGACAAAATACTGAGCATAAAAGAGAAGGATAAAAATCCTGCTTTTCCATTAAACCATTTCCTAAACAATTAAACATTAGTCATAAATGCTTATGCCTGCATTTGGGTAAGATATGAGCAATGTATTTGTTTAACGTTCAAAATAGTTTAGCGTTCAGTTAACTTCAAACCTAAATATTGAATTAGTGGGTATGCAGGCACTGTTTGTATTATATTTTGCACCAAACTTACAATATATTTTTGATTTTTCCAGGTCTCTTGAACTGTGAAATCACATCAAAACTTATGTGTGAAGGTGTATTCCGTGTCAAAGTGCTACCTCGAGATTGTCTGTGACGTGTTTATGTCAATGTACACAGTGATTTAAAACACAAAAACTGCTAAAGACAGCTATTTATTTAAAGTGGGGAAATTCTTATTCAAAAGCTGTGTTTCAGTGCACTTGGCGACTGTTATAGCTGCAATCATTTTCGGGAGAATTCCAACATCATGGTTTTGAAAAGATGAAGATGCTGCCAATGACTATTTTCTAATTTTATCATTCATTGTGCTTAGGTTTTGTCTTATTGGGGGAAATATGAAAAAGTTGTTGATGACTTATTTATATTTAAACGTTTTATTCAACACGTGGACATTTTTAGCATGGATTTGTTTATATTTTCCGTACATAGCAGACGTCATTACCCATCTATCTGCCGACCATAGTTAGAATTTCGTTAATGCTTTTGTAATTTGATAATATTTTCTGTTCTCTTACTGTAAAATATCCTTTGACAGTTATTTGCATTAGATTATCATTAGACAATATTTTATTTTTATGTGCTATAGCGATTCTAATTCTGCTTTATTATTTATTCCCATTGCATTCACATTACTATTTGTTTATTTATTGTCTAATCAACTGCTGTGAAATCTCTCAAGATGTCTACATTTGAAAGTGACCAGCATTTCTAAAAGCATTAATTAATTTTGTAATTGAATAATCCTCTGTACCATGACGACTTCTATAGAAGGTTAAAATCATGTGCAATCGTGAGTGGTCATCTTAGAGACAGCCTGTAGCTTTTCTGCGATTGGATATATACTGTATACACAAAAGTCCTACTTTTTATTTTCTCAGCCGCTGATAGTACATATTGGTGGTACTACGTATTACTCAAATGTGTTGTCCCCACCAGCGGCCGGTAGTAAAATCGCTGAGCATAAGTAGTTCGATCTGAAGTTTAAATCCTGCGAAGAGGCTGGCTGCATGGGCATTTTCAGGGTTTTCCTCATTTGTAACAAGTATATGTGTCAGTTTCTTTCAGAAATCCTCGAAGAAGGCATTCCTATCCTTAGATAGACAGCCATCCAGTGCTTTGCCGTAATCAAATAAACTGAACCAAACCAATCCATAAATCAAAATCGTAAAAAACAACCTTGTATTTAGCGTAGGTATAATGAAACACTCAATCGATTTCGAGGGCAGCTAGAGGTCCCTCCTCATCAGGAGAAAGAAATACATAGAAAGAAGAAAATAGGAGGAGTCACAGAAACACGTAGTCCTTATCACGTGGATATAACTAGATTTTTAATCAGAGTTGCACTGGCCGCCTACTTTTACTGAGCCAGGCTATCTGATCAAGCATAAAGAAATATTAGCAAAGTTAAAATAGGAAGCGAGAGGCAAATGCACCTTATGCTCAAAATCTGAACTTCAAATAATGGAAAGCTTAGACTTAGACTTAGACTCTATAATTGACCGAGCTATTGCGAAGAGCAATGTTGCCGGTTCCAAAATTAAAGCCCAAGGGCACTTGACATAAATAAATCCGGACGTGGAGAAAATCTCAGATGAGAAAACGGAGATAAGGGTAAGAAGAGAAGTACCAAAAGGAGCAATACAATCCAATCGGACAAGTTCGCAAAAGGTGACGAGCGATCATAGCTTTCAAGGAGGACCCAAGACAATGGAAATCAATGACAACAATACGAGAAGATACACTACAGCAATAGTTTCCAATGACAATTCAAATATAATTAAACAACATCAATCAGTAGTGCTAAATACAACACAATACAAAACAACACTATACAACATAATTTAAATACAATTATTCAACGAAGCAACAGAAGAACTTCAATCAAAATCAGATGCATTGGAAGTGTAAATAGCTAACAATTGAGGATCTAAGTGAAAAAGTTGTCGTCTCCTCCCATGAAGGTGTGAGCTGCAAGTGGTCTGACGCTTCTATCTTCGAAGAGAATTTCATAATTAAAAACTTGGGAGTAATTAACAAAGTCACATTGCACAGCTTTGTTGAAGAATTTTTCATTAGATCTTCTGATGTAATCTGGAATAGTCTCAAGTTTTAAGTCTCTGTGTAAAAGTTTTTTGCGGATAAGATAGTGAGAATCAGTAATAATGCGCAGAAATTTGTTTTGCACTACTTGTAATTGATGCAGTTGAGTTTGCTGCTATCTTTATTGAGTGACTGTGTTCCAAGCAGGAGCAGCATAACAAAGTATCGGACGAATGCAAGTGGTATATATATGTTTTTTGGTACGCAAGCTAAGATTTGAATATTTTCCAATGACCGGGAGAAATCTGCATATTATGCCCATGGCTTTGCTCTTGACACTATTAATGTGATTAGACCATGTGAGCCTTTGGTTCAAAATAATTCCTAGGTATTTGGCCTTTGTGACCAAAGGAACAGCTTCCTGAAAAAGGTAGAGGTCTTTAAAATAATGGAAAGCAACCACTGAACGGATTTTTATACCCTCTGGTAGTACCAAACGCGAGGAGGTAACGCCATCTATCGGCAAAAATAACTGAATTAAGATAGTAGAATTTTAAAGGCATTAGGAAGGACTGGATTGGACTTCAAATCATTAACTAAACTTGCTAAATCTTTGTGAATGTGAAAAGCCTCAAGAAAATCCAATTCACCTATGGAAGAAGCCTTTTGGATGATTTTTGCACACATAAAATCAAAATTATGGTTAAAAGTCCAACTATGATACGCTATTGAAGACTTGTTAATTTCGCCTTTTTTGACATAAGATCTTTTTTGACATAAGATCTTTTTTGACGTGTTTCTGTGACTCCTTCTCCTATTTTCTTCTTTCTATGTATTTCTTTCTCCTGATGAGGAGGGACCTCTAGCTGCACTCGAAATCGATTGAGTGTTTCATTATACCTACGCTAAATACAAGGTTGTTTTTTACGATTTTGATTGTCACATTAGTGTGTTTCTCTTCTAATCCAATCCATAAATGTTTTAAATAACCGAAGTTTCACGTTTTCATATTTTAAAATTTAAAAAATCATTTTCTATAGAAATATGGAATCTAATATTTTCACATTTCTCCGGTTCCTACACTTATATTTACGAAACTTTTACGTTTGTTATAAAAAGTAAAACGCGAAAGTTTGACTCATTTACGTTATATTTGCCCGATGTATTTGCTATTATAATCAGGAATTATATCCAGAGGCCGTACACAAATCTAACAGCGAAATGTTTGCATATGTACGCAACTAAAAATAAAATATCATTTAGAAAAACTCTTCTAATAGTAAGCCATTACATTACGAGTATTTCTGTGCAAATAATTGTGATATATATATATAATATATATATAATATTTCTTCAAAATAGAGATTTTATTTTCAGAATCTTATACAATTCGTGTTCGAGAAAACACTGGCATTCTTCAGCAATCGCTCGTAAGCAACTCAAATTATTACTTACATTAATTAAAAAGGAAAATTATAATTTTGCTGTTTATTTAATGAATTTCCTATTATTGCCAGATTATGTTATTGAAGTAATAAAACTTCGTGAGAATATTATTAAAGTATTTTTAGACTCAAAACATTTATTTATGTGAAAATTCTTTTGGCATGCCAAATATAACAAAATTATTATAAATAAGGGCACTAGTATATTGCAAAAAAAAAATATCATTAATTGGAATTTAAGGGAGAAAAATCGATCTCGAATTATTTTAATTTATTTTTTAACAGAACCCTCATTGCAAACTAAAAATGATGTCAAATATTGCAAATTTTCAAATTAAATATCACATTTAATTTTTATCTCACGGAATTCAAACTTTATATGTTTACTTTTTATAATTAGTACAAAGCTTGTACAGTAATTAGGTTATTTTGAAGCAGGAGACATGAAAAATAAGCAAGCCCTTGCCGGGACTCTAATCTCTGGAATACACGCCGAGTGTGCTGTTGTTACTCCACAAAAGCATGCAGAAAGGAGGAAGAAAATGCCTCATAAACTTTGGCTGTTCGGTAAAGTCTCTCAAATGCCGTTATGTGTTGTCCACTCAGGCGGCAATCCCAAACTGAATATTTGAAGCTTATAAACTTTCCTAATTATAAGTGTAGTGACTGGAGAAATGTGTATTAAGGTAGATTTCGTATTTTATACAAAACTTTTTCTTTTAATCTGAAAATACAAAAACACAAAATTTTGTATTGTTTGAAGCATTTTTGCAACTGGAAGTATATGTCTACGATCACCGGTTGCGAAAATAAAGGGCATGGTAAGGCTTTTTTTGTGGACACAGTGTATACCTGTATGTATATATATAGAGAGAGAGATTATTTGAAAAATACAATTCTTTCAGAACGAAAGAGTTCCAAGCTGTCTTTTATCTGCCATAATCAGTTATAATTTTGCTGTTTATTTTTATTTGCCCTAAATAACTGTAATAAAGTGTACATAGTGGTTATAAAATAATTTTCTCCGTGTGAAGGCATCTGAAGCTAAAACTAATGAACGGAATGAAACCGAATTTCATACTTACTGTGAAAGACATAATGGGGAGATGAACTGGGAAAGAAAGATACCAAAAGTTGCCGATAGGAGAGATTTGGAGCTCCGGAATCAAAAATGGATCAATAATTGCAATAAATGAGCGGAAAATGAATTACGCAAAATTTCATTAATGTTTTAATTTAAATTTTTTAATGTTTAATAAAAAATGCATATACATAAATGAATGACGTACAGTACGAAACTCACAGAAAATAAGCTTTCATTAATCAACTTCAGTGTCCCCTGAACCACGTGCTGTATTTTGATTTGATGGCGTTCCCTGTATACAAGGTGTTGCAACCAAAGTCAAACGTTGCCCGTAAACTGTTAGTTTAGTTTGCAACAGTACTTCATAAGTTCTCTTTAAAGAAACTGAGGTTTATAACGCCAACATTATACACAACGGATTTAAGGCACAGCCCAAAATCCCATGGGGTGATATCCTAGGAACGAGGTGGCCATTCCATCGGAAAATTTCGACTAACAGCTCTGTCGAAACCGAGAAATTGAAATAAAAGTTCCCGTTCTGAACATAGAATATGCGATCGTGCTCCATTTTGCATAAAATTATCTAGTTCAAACGCTGTATTTGTTCAAGAACGGCAAAAGTATGAAGCGTCTGTCAAATATTTATCACCAGTAACAGTGCAGGTAATAGCACCTGTTGGAGTGCTATTCTCAAAAAGTAGGGACCTGTTATGAAGTGAATCCATATAACACGGTTATTTTTGCAGAATGTTATGCTAGTTGATGGCCATTCAGATGTTCAAATTTGACAATTGTGACGAAATCATTCAGATAAAAATTAGCCTCATCTTCTCATCAAAGCCACATTAGCGCGAAAATCCAGCGCTTTTTGGTACATTTTTTTCCTAGGAATTCATCTTTTTATGCCTTCCACAGTCTGTCTATGAAATGTGCTTTCATTCTGTTCATTAGCTTTAGCTGTAAATGTCTTCAAACACGGAAAGCTATTTTACAGTTATTTATTTGTATCCTATACTAAAAGGTTTCTTTTCTATTTTTTGTTCTCTTATTTACTATTAAAGTTTTAACTCTATTGTGCTTTAATTTGCTACTATTTTCCCTATTCTCTTGCCATAGTTTTATACTTTTTATTCCTCTGTTATGTATAAATATTAGTTAAGAAAAATTATGCTTAGGCTTTTACTTAGCGAAATCATTTATAATTAGAATTCAATAACCGTCTTTTATAGGGCGCATTCGTATTATTGAGACGTTTTTACTCTGTAAATTACTAAACAACCTTATATTTCGTCCTAACCTAAGTTATTTTTTAAATCTATCGCAGTGAAATATTCATTAAAAGATATAAATTAATTTTAAAATCGGAAAATAATTTCTTACAATATTTTTTTTTTTTTTTTTTTTTTTTTTTTTTTTTTTTCTAAAATGTTTTTCAATTCTGAACTTTGGCAAGTAGAAAGTTAAAAACATTCAACAGCTCATTTATTCAAATAAAAAAAAAATGTTTTCTATGCTCAAAAGAAATACAGTAGAACTATAAATATCCTGATCAGATAACTGGAATTCCACTTACCGGATTTCGTTTATCTCGTACTTAAGTATCCGCTTACATGAGCACCATTTATCTGGTATCTATGTATTCAGATAACTTGCT